GTTATATAACTGCATGGACACTATACTGTATGTACAAATTAAATTGTCCGAGCAACTTTGCAGTAATTTGTATAGGTCATTCAAAATTTCTTGTCAAAGTTAAACTACTTTATATTTTATAAGTGTTAAAAATTAAAGTTGCCAATTATCATTTCGCTTTTACTCGATTTGCAACCAAAATCACAATTAGTATATCATAATTAAACTAACACTCATACTTATGTATATTGTATTATAGATATTGTTGTATTCATAGTTGTATTCATCACCTATATTTAAATATTATAAATAGTAAACATAATTTCTATTAATTGTGCAATATAATTATGCTTATTAGAAAAATTTTTATAATTATGCATTTTAAAAAATTAAATTTAAAAAATTAATTGTTATCAGGTAAACATTTAATTTCGATTCAATTTTTTGAATTTTTAATTCAATATTTAATTGTCTTACAAAAATTAACCTTTCTTGTCTTAACGACAATTGGAATAATTTTAATAAATTTATTGAATCTAAAAACAAATTCTATATTTAATATAGAGATAAATAATATCAAATTTACGATCATATACATGTATGTGTGTATACTATATATTTTAAGATATTTTTATTACATACTTTTATTACATATATGTACATATTATAATTATTCTCTATTTATTTTACATATGCATATGTAAATTATATTCGCATTATTATTTACATATGCATTAATTGTCAAATAATTTAATAACACCATTGACTAATAAATAAATATTAAATCATTGGTTAAATGTACATTTAAAAAGGCAAAATAATTCATGTAACATGTTGTAGATGTCGACACAGTCATGTGTTTTCTTTAACGAAACTATCAGAAACAGTAAATGACATTCTGACGAACTGAATAAGAAAGTTTAATTCTAGTGTTTATATTCTTATAACATTATTATCAATATTTTTGCAGTTATAGTTTCTCTCGTGAATTTTTTGTTGCATTTCGTCAGCCCAATATCTCGAGTCATGAATCATTAAATGTTTCATATTTCGATGCATCAAACCGATAACAAAATCAGAAGTATCGTTTTCGCTTTTTTCACAGCTGATTCTACGTTTGATAATGATTGTTCGATTCAGTGAATCAATATTTGTACAAATGAATTGCAGTTTTATTTGTGTCGTTAATTAAGATTTATTTCACTTACATTTCATAGTTCTATTAAAAAATCAAACTGAAATGGAGTCGGTGAATCAGAATCAAATGCAAAATACTTCCAATAATACTGATGGCACTGAAAATAAGGGAAGGTGATTATATTTTGTGATATGTTTTTTAGTTATATTACCCAATTTTTATAATTTTACAGCATATTGTAAGTATTTGAATTTATGTACTTAATTAATTAAAGTGATGTACTTAATAAATATTAATGAATTTTTATTTTTTGTCTTCATTCATCTGAAATAACGAAACATTATTTTTTTATAGTTGTTTGTTACTTCGATATGCTAGTCAAAATTCATTGGATGAAAGCTCACAAAAACACATACCCCGTGAAGGTGGAAAAGATAAACCACCATATAGAAATCATCATCACACAAACCGAGCGTTTGATGTTATTAATGAAATGCGCAAGTAAGAAATACCTGGTTTTATTTATTTTATTATACATGTCTTATATTAATTAATACTGCATATGTTTTACATTATTTACTATTGTATGTACTGTATTATTTAATATATTATAAGCATTCAAAAAAGAGAGAATAATATCACAGTCTCTTTTTGGATTATTTTTATCGTAAATTTATTAAAATTATCATGTAAGTGATACTAAAACTACAATGTGATGTATACATTTATGATTATTTGCTAGGAAAAACTTATTATGCGACGTAATTTTGGTAGCAGACGGCGGCTTAGAAGTACCTGCTCATAAAATGGTTCTGGCTGCTTGCAGTCCTTATTTTTATGCCATGTTCACAAGTTTTGAGGAACGAGATCAAGAAAGAATAACATTGCAAGGTGTAGATTATTCTGCGCTTGAATTACTGGTGGATTATGTATATTCTGCAGAAGTTCATGTAACTGAAGATAATGTACAAGTATTATTACCAGCTGCAAATCTTCTGCAATTAACCGATGTCCGTGATGCATGTTGTGATTTCTTACAAGCTCAGTTGCATCCATCAAATTGTTTAGGAATACGTGCATTTGCTGATCTGCATGGCTGTTTGGAATTGTTATCACATGCAGATAGTTATATTGAACAACATTTTTCGTAAGCACTAAATTACACTTCCATATAGCTAAAATATCTTTATATTTTAATTGCAAATATTTTGTTCTGTATACAGGGAAGTGGTAGATGGTGATGAATTTTTAACATTAGCACCACAACAAGTAGCTAAATTAATTTGCAGTGACTGTTTAATGGTTCCTTCAGAAGAAAAAGTATTTGAATGTGTAATATCATGGGTACATCATGATTTAGAAAAAAGACAAGCTGATTTAGCACAATTAATGGAACATGTACGTTTACCTTTGTTATCCCAAGAATATTTAGTACAACGTGTAGAGGAAGAACCACTTCTTAAGGCAAATTTACAATGTAAGTAACAAAATGTATACCACAAATAAAAATATAAATAAGATATATTTTATTATTATAATTTAACGTAAAAGGATTAAAAATCATCTAAATTTTTCATTTTATATAGGTAAAGATTTTTTGATCGAAGCTTTGAAATATCATCTACTTAAAGGAGAGCAAAAGTCATTGTTCAAAACACCTCGTACAAAACCTAGACAACCTAGAGGTTTACCAAAAGTATTATTAGTTGTGGGAGGACAAGCTCCAAAAGCAATTAGAAGTGTAGAATGTTATGATTTTAAAGAAGAAAAGTGGTATCAAGTTTCTGAATTACCTACACGTCGTTGTAGAGCTGGTAATTAATATCTATGTCTCAGAAGAAATTGTACAATGTACAATGATTCTCTAAACTGAGCTATTATATAATGTTTGATATATAGGTTTGTCCGTCCTTGGTGGCCGTGTGTATGCTGTTGGAGGATTTAATGGATCTCTTAGAGTACGAACAGTAGATATTTATGATGCAGCTACAGATCAGTGGTCACCTTGTCCAGAAATGGAAGCAAGAAGATCAACACTTGGTGTTGCAGTTCTTGGAAATTGCATATATGCTGTAAATAGTTCATATATTATATGTTTATATAAATATATGTATACATGTTACTTGATGTTTTAATTCTGTTTCAATTTTTTGTTTGTGTTAAAATAATAGGTTGGTGGATTTGATGGATCAACTGGCCTTAATTCTGCTGAAGTATACGATCCAAGAACACATGAATGGAGATTAATTGCACCAATGTCAACACGTAGAAGTAGTGTTGGTGTGGGTGTTGTTAAAGGACTATTGTATGCTGTAAGTTTAATAATGAAGCTAAGTTAATGAAGTAATGATTGAAAATTACTTTTAAATATTTAAAGTCGAAAATTATTGCTACAGGTTGGTGGTTATGATGGAGTATCCAGACAATGTCTATCTAGTGTCGAATGTTATAATCCAGAAAAAGATCAGTGGAAGCCTGTGCCTGATATGTCTGCACGTCGTAGCGGTGCTGGTGTTGGTGTTTTAGATGGAATTTTATATGCTGTAGGAGGACATGATGGACCACTAGTCAGGAAAAGTGTAGAAGCTTTCAACCCTGATACTAATCAATGGACCCCAGTTAGTGATATGGCTCTTTGTCGCAGAAATGCTGGTAAATTTTATTTTTACTTAATTTAATAATAATTGATATATTTTTACAAAGTACAAAATTCTAAAAGTTTTTATTTTTACTTTTCATTAATACTTTTCATTTTTTTTTTTTTTTTCCTAAGTAAAAATAACAGAACTAAAGAGTACATACTTCATACTTTTTTATCAAATTTTGTTCAAGGTGTAGGAAAATAAGGATAAAAACTATTAGGGCCAGTACATGCTAATTTATGACGTACGCTTCAGAATTAATTTATTAAATTAGACATTTCTGTATATTTTACGTCGCGTTTAGAATTTACAACCGAGTTTTTCATAAATTTCAGTCAGAGTATAACGAATTTTTTCTACATAATAGCAATTGTGATAAAGTCATACGCAGCAAAAATATCGCATAGATGACAAGATGGTTGCCAGAAGATGAAGAACTCTTTCACTATTCCTGCAATCCCATATGAAATTCTAGAAATTTTTATATTTTCTGATTGGTTATCTTATCACTACAACTTAATCCTCTATAGAGTCTTTTAGAAGAGAAAATTTATGTTTTCTATAAGAAAACTCGAAAAAGTCAATTTTCAATCAGGGGTCACAGTCACAGTCAATTAGTCAGTATAGTTAATCAGTGAGTCAAACGGAATCAATCCGTTCTTAACTTCAATTTAATTAGTCAGACAAAATCAACTGTTACAAGTTAGAAATAAAAATTAGGCTTCTCAATAATAAACCAATTGACTAAAATCAGACTCGATTATTTCTCACATCAGTGGATGGTCCTTCGCTTAGGCAAGTTAGTTGCAATAATCGAACTCACAAACAACTGAATAAACATAGTTCTTTTATTTTTGTAAAAAAAAATATAAAAATTTTAACTCATAGGCATTTTTATAGTAAATTAAATTTCTTTTTATAAAATTATAATGTAGTGTAAAAAATATTTTTATTTTGTAGGTGTAGTTGCACTAAATGGTCTTTTATATGTGGTGGGTGGTGATGATGGATCATCTAGTCTGGCATCTGTAGAGGTATATTCTCCAAGAACGGATACTTGGACAACTCTTCCAACTTGTATGGGAATTGGTCGTAGTTATGCGGGAGTAGCAATAATCGATAAACCAATGCCATCTACGACATCGATGTGAGGATTACAATCCGCTGGGCATATATTAGAGCAAAATACAGATCCGGGTGCCGAAACGTCGGATCAATCACGGGAAGCCGGGCCCAGCGGTATGCAAGTTCAGAATTCAGACCAGAATGTACTTCAGCAATATCGTGGTACTGGGCATAACTGTCAAGGTTTACGTTGTGTATGTCAACGATATGAAAATGGTGAAGTGGCAGCTGCAATCATGAATCAGAATAGGAATAATCAAGAAAGAGATGATAGCTATCAGAACATAGGTCGTGGTTCACGGGGCTTCCAAAACCGACCTGGTGGCTCGGTTCAATTGCATTCAAATCTCAATCCAAATTATCAAAATCCAGTGGATTTAGTTCATAATTATAATCGCAATCGACAACTACAGGAACCAGAAGAAAATATATACGAAAGATTAGATAATGATGACGATGATGATGAAAATGCTGAAAACAATAATGAAGTTATTCATAATGAGCCCACGGCTCAAAATAATCAAAATAATGCAGATGATCACACATATGAGAGAATAGATGATCGATATTCTTGTGGTAGTAGAACGTATCCTCGTTGTTATAAATATCATATTTTAAATCATTATATCCCAAGTTTTTTTAATGATATGGAATCTAGAAATCAATATGATCAGCCAAGACAATTTTATCTAGATTCTTCTCGATTATCTAATCAATTTTGTCAGAATAGGTTAGGTAGGCTAGGTCGTAATTGTTTTTCGACTGAAAATATTGCTTACGCGTCAACTGGACGTGCCATTTATTCACTTGGTTATAACTGTATGTGTTCATTTTGTAGACATATAGATACAAAATATTTATGCCATCATTGCCATAATTTGCATAATAGATTACGTTATCAAGATGGATTTGCAAATAATTCTAGACATTACATATATCAATTACCAAGGAATTGTAGATGCCCTTTTTGTCGTGGTGAATATTCTTATGTGAAACTGCCTGTTACATCTTGTCGACCTACTGAATCCTTAAGAATGGAATGTCATTGCAGAAATCCTAGTAACTGTTCTTGCAGAGGAAAAGTTCTACCTAATTCTAACTCTGCTGCACAATTTAGTAAATATCTTGATTGGATTAGTAGAGGTAGTCCATCAGTTAATAATCCATTGTATGCTACAGTTCATATAGGTAGACCTTGTGTTTCGGCTCTTGGAAGTACAACTGGAGGAAATTCATCTAATAGTATAGATCCTGGCGCTTCGACGTCAAATATGTCAACATCTAATGCATTATCAAATAATGAACCTAGTACATCATCAAACATTAGATCCATGTTCTCTTCGCATAATCCTTCTACTTCACATCCTTCTGTTTGTTCTGTTAATCGTTCAACAGAACGTCAACATACATGTGATGATTCCTGCATTAGAAATCAAAGTGGTAGCGTTACTGGCATTTGTCAGTTTCTTGGTAGATGTGAAAGAGCAGAATGTAATCATGGTAGATTGTCTGTGCATTGGTGGTTTGTGAATAGATGGTTGCCAGCTTGGAATCCTCATTATTTTGATAGAAATGTGGATAGTGTTCCTCCAATGGAAGAAGAGTCTCGAGAACAGCAAGAAAGTGATAGTGATGATACTTAATTTCAAAATTTCTACTTTGTGTTATTAAGAAACAAAAATTTAGATTTTGTTCAAATTTTGATATATATATATATATAAATTTGTCATGACTTAATCATAAACATTATTATTCTTAAATTATGATTACCAATAATATTGAAACGTAATATCTTCATTATATGTCTCTGTTTATGAAGAAAAGAATGATAAAATTATATTTTGTGATTAAAAAATACGCCTTTCTCAATCAATATTAAAATGATATTGATAATAGATCATGTAATTTTTCATTAAAAATTAGATTAAAAATTATTAGATTATCATTTCATATTGAAACATCTTTCGAAAGATTTAAATATTTAAAAACAATTTATGCATATACTGACAATAAAATCGCTTTATATGTGCATTAATAATTTAACATGTTCATACTTTAATATGTATAAATATCAGTCATATGTTGAGAAATATAAAATAGATTAAGTAATAATTAAAATTTTATCAATACAATTTTATATGAACTTAAAAACTATTTCAGTTTAATAATTTTTTATTCATTTAGAACAATTTTAAACAATGAACGATAGTTAAAACAAATTTTATTATGTCAATCTTAATAAATAATTTTAGATGTTGTGCATTCTATATATATAAAATATATACATAGAACATATATATAGAATTATAAGAATATAAAAATTGTATAAAAATTGTAATTTTTATAATTCAATTTCGTATATATATCTTTTTTGGGCATCATTGTTGAACCAAAGAGAGAATGCTTTTGTCATATTTTTCAATTTTAGTAATTAAGATCTTTCGAAACAAAGCGCAAATGCATTCTTTCAAAAAGTAGAGAAATAAAAAAAATTAAGATTATTCATTATTTTTAGGAAGCGTTTTATATTCGATATTGTAGTAAAATATGTTAAAGATGATAAGCTTTAGTTTAAATTCATAGTTATTGTAAATAAAAATTTGTAGCAATTATCATTACAAAAAATAACCTTAAAAATTCATGAAAATGATTTTTTATATATGCGATTTGTCTTAAAAAGATGAAACATATTAGCTTAGATTCTTTAAATGGACCTATTATTAGACAGTATTAAGTTGTCCTTGTAAAGTTTTATTTTTCCAAATAAATTTTCTATTTCTTTGACTTTATTTCATCTTTTATTATTATTATTGTTCATGAATAATTAGTTGTTCAATTGAATATTGATTGATTTGAATAGTTATAATTTAAAAATCCAGTTGAAAACACACCTAAATATAATATTGAAATATTTAAATAAATATAATAGGTTTATCAAAGTAAAATATAAAATTTGTAAGGACAACTTCACACATATCTTTATAATTAAATATGTTATATTATAGAAACTAATCCTTAGATAGAATTTGTAACATTTTTGCGCCTAACATATTAATTTTGAAGGAAACATGTTGGATTAGTTTCTTGAATTATAATGTAAGAAAATGTATCAGATAGATTCGCCAAATGTATATTTATTTTTTCTATTTAGTGATTAATATCTATATTAAGACAAACGTTCAATTAAATAAAATGTGTTATTATACAAAATTCTCTATGTAAACATTATTTTGATTACCTATTTAATTAATTGAAATTGAATACCTAAATTCGTTGAAAATTATATTAAATACAAAAGTTTTTCATGAAAACTTTTAATCATTTTAGTTGATTTTAAATATTAAATTAATTTGTTTTGATTTGTATTATAAAATTGAAAACTTAATTGTATTCATTAATTTGAATCATCAAAATTGTTGCAAATATTCACAATTATTGTATAAAAGAAATCTGTATTTAAGAAATCAATACTTGTGTGAGATATATTTATTATGAGAAAGATTTGAATGATATTTAATTGACATAATAAAATTATAAGTTAGAGGACGTACATAAGAAAATTTAATACTTGCATAAAATAATTACTTAATACATTTTATACTGTATTATTTGCTGAATATAATTTATGTATTTTATGTATTATGAAATAATAAGGATAAAACAAATAATAAATAAAGTGTAAATATCAATAAATAAATAAAATAATAAAATAATAATATTTATTTGCATACAGAAGAATAAATTATAATTTTGTTAGTTCTGCATTTCATACATTAAATATAATATTAAAATGCGCTGATTGCAAATAACATAATTCAAAATTGTGGTATAATTAATCTATATCATAACGCTTTTGTAAGAGTAAATGTCTTTACAATCGATATACATTTATAACCACTTTAAAAAAAGTTGATCACTCCCCCATAAGTGAAGGCCAACTGCTATCACTTTGGTTTTAGCCCTAATATCAATGTATTGTTACGTATCGCTAAATCTCACTGTTGTAGATATTTTTGTCTAATTTGTCACATGCTGAAAATAAATTAATCACGTGAAATAAGAATTAAAGTAAATAGAAAATTATAAATTATTATAAATTATACAAATTATTTCAAATAGCTATAATAAATTTTAAATTATTTAATTATATAAGAATATTATATAAATGCTATGTATGTGTGCTCTGTTCAAGAGTAAACATACATAATTAAACATTTATAACTAAGTAAAGATTTCTTTAGAGCGTCGAACTCTAAATGTCATTTGGGGTGTGGTCATTGTGACATTTCTATCTTGGAGTTGTCGTGAATTCGCACGTAAAGTCTTCTAAACAAAATTTATGCGACCAGTTCATGGAAATTATTTCAGGAACATCAATTCATAAATAGATAGTCTCCTCTTGAGAAGAGAACCGCCAATGAGTACAACAGAATGATGTGCAAAAACTACGAATATTTCATGTTATCACAGGATTAATATTGTAAATATTCGAATGACGATAACTGCTATTGTATTTCTGACGTTGTGGAGTATAGCGCATAGTTAGAAAAATTTATCTTGGCACCACGAGTATTCAAGTACATATCACGGGTGTGGTTCTCATGGTCAGATACATTCAAATATGACGATATTTTGTTTGGATAATGATTGAACCTTTTCTATATTGAGTATCTGAAATTTTATTTCCATTTTATTTGTTATTATAATACTAACGATTTAAAATTTTCCAAACAATTTTCAAATTATTGTTATTTGTTTCACATTTTGTTATTTGTTTCTTTATTTTATTTATTTTGTTTATATTTTGTATATATTTGTTTATTTTCAAAAATCTATTTGAAAATTATTTGATATAAAATTATAGATTGAATAGAAGCTGCTATAAAAAAAATAAAAAAATTTGAATTAAAATTAAAAATTTCTTAAATAATAAAGTTTATAAATTTTAAAAATTTTCGTTATCAAAAATTATTTTATATCATGTAAAAATTTATAATTTCAATTCTTCCAAATTATATCTAATAAGTAGTTTTCGAAATTAATGTAGTATTGCTTTTTACGAAATAATATTTATGATTTATAAGAACATAAAATAAATTGTCAATAGTTTATAACATCGTTATAATATTTTATAATAATAGTTTTTAACATATTGATTTTTATTTAGTTTTATTCGTAAAATATTGTACTTAACTGCACTTTCATAGTTAGTAACAATGTCAATCATTTATCAAACATTTATTTTAAATGTTTTGATTCAAGCTGTTTTTAACGACGTTATTTAGTATCCACAAATGCACATTGAAGAATGGTTATATATACGTAGCCCGTGTGAAATTAAAACGAGGAGAAAGGCTACGTTCACCTTTCCTTTGATATAAATATTTGTAATCCGGTCAGCAATCAAATTTTATGTTCTGGTTTATATGCATATGATATACATTCTTTGAACATATAGCGATTACTATATGTAAAATTTAATATTTATTTAATGATAGTACTTTATACCTTGCCTGATCGTAAGATCTAAATGCAACATACAGGAAAGTGTAGTACAACCATCATAATCAAATGTATTTCTGAAACGTGGACATATGATATTTGTAGTAAAAAAGAAGCACAAGTTTCTTACGTCAGAATTGTTAATCCATTATGATCGATGATCGGAACGATAGTCGAAGTATGTGGGCGTTGGTCCTATTCTTGTCACCTTCGAATTCCAATCAGTTGAAATGAACCAAAAAAGGTGAATAATTTATTATGAATAAATAAAAAAAAAATAGAAGAATTGCCAATGAAACAATCATACTTGTTTTCTAATAAAACAAGAGTCATTAATCATTTAAACGATATAATATTCTATTATATTTCTTTCTTTTATGTACTAAGAATCGATTATTACTCTATGACAAAGTCAGAAAAACTCCCATGAATTCATTAAAATTAGCTAGTAAACGATGATACAAGATTCCATAGATGTAGAGTAATAATTTATTACTACTGTTACGCGGCATGACCGTATATGAATCACGGAATTGTCGTGCAAGTATAATGTGTAACCGAGAAATTACGAAATCTAGTCTTTGTGCTATATGCACGCGCACTCCCCTTCTTTTTTATTCTCTTTTAATGAGGTTCAAGTTCCGGTTGCATTTATAATGTTTTACGGACTATTTAATTGTAATAAGATAGGACATGTAGTTGGGAAATCATATGATATCGACAAATCGATACTTATCAGATCGAATATTTTTTTTTTTATGGATTTTCTTTAAGTATATATATCTTTATCATTTTTCAGTTTTATTCCTAATTAATTTGATATTTATATATTTTAAATATTATGTATATACTCTATTGTATTGTTTTTAAATATTTATGTTTAAATTTATACTTTAAGTATATACTTCATAATTAATATATGCTTTAGATATATACTTCATAATTCTAAGCATTAATTTTTGCTCTTTCTCTCCCCCCCCCCCCCTTTCTCTCAGTGTTATGTGTGAAATATTGTAACAAAATTTGTAACGTTAATGAAATTACAACTAAGATATTAATTAAACTACAGATATCAAAATTTTAAAGAAATCTTTGAAAAATATATAATTACTTCGACTATTCCCATAAATAACTTTATTATTACTGTTGTATCTTTGTTAAATATAAATAACATTTTATATCCTTACATATGTACGAATATTTTTGCAAATTTAATCGCATATTTAAATCAAAACATTTATCTACAACTATTACAGTACAATGAAATAAAAATGTGTTTCTATTATACATACATACATCACAATGTGAATAAAGTTATCAATCAAATAAAAATGTCTATGTTTCCTATTTTAATGTACGATAACATAATTATATATGT